GCCAACAGATAAAAAAGATCAATGACCTTGAAATACTTCTCGATGTTCACCTGAAAAAGGATTAGCAACGTGGGATGAACATAAAGTCCAGTAGGGATCTCACCATGATCCTAAACAATAACAACATATAGATAACTATGATCATAAATGCTTAGTCTCATACTATATAAATAATGTGACAGTTTATAACCAAAGAATATTTACATAAGTAGTTTTTCTAAAATTATTCAATTCCTTCAACAGCACAGACAGTTCACATTTCCTTTTCATTTCCCATTTCAAATATATCTCATAACAACCATTTTGTTGTGGAGTTTGAAACATGTTCATAAATCTCTGATTTCCTTTACATTATTTACGAACTCAACACATGGTCTACATCATATTCCAACACGTTCAAATATACAAATGTGCATCCAACATGAAAAACGAAAACAATAAGCACCCAATAACTATGTACTCAACTTAATAAGACAACTTGGCCTTCTTGAACCATAACTGTCATAACGCATGATATAAACAGGTACACTGAGATAATAATAAAAAAATAAGCTCTGCTCTACCTGCCTTAAACATGGAAAGCTAATGATACACCTTTCCATAATAAAATGCCAATTTACCAGACACTAGCTGGAAGGTAATGGTACCTCTGCCAAGTTCTCCAGGTGCTAGTTGGAAGGTACTAATACCTCTTATTCTAAGCGTAGCCAATTTTCTAGGCGCTAGCTAGAAGATAATGGTACATCTCATTCTTAGCGCAATATAAACTACCAATCATCACAACATGACAAAGTACAACTAACACAAGTGTAATGTATACACATAAACTATTAAACACAACAATGTCATCCTCCACCGATGACCAAGGACAAAACCTCTAAATGTATGTACTCAACACACGTATTATAATAATCAAACTCTCATGAGATTTTAAATCCAACAACAACTATAGTAAAATAAAATATTTATAATTCAACCTCAAGTTCATTTATGAAATTCACATAGTGTTATGATTTCCTTCTGTTTTTTCAAAAATCAATTCTCTTATTTTTCAAGTTAACATACTCCACTCTTTATCCATTCTTTTCATTTCACAAAACTAAATCCATGGATATCAAACCCACAACCTAACTTAACTTAACATGATCAATCCAACATAATTCCAATGCCATAGTTAATTCTCCCTTTTAGCTATTAACACATTTACACAAACCATAATAACAATTTACAAACATTATTCAACTTTACCCTTTCTTAATTCACCAAGTCAAAACATTAAATTAGGGTTTTTCATCCTTTTAACATAAACATGTTAGACTACTTTCCAATTAACCCAAACAATAATCAATTTAACAATCTCATTCACAAATAACAAACCCTAAATTCCCTTTCATAACTTTCAAAGAAATCCATAATGGATATGATTTCTATGCAATAAAATCTACCACATATCTATCTATAGATGAGGTATTGAAAATGAGTAAAGAAATCCCTACCTCAAGATTCGAAGCTAAAGATGAAGACCCAACTTGAAACTCCAATGAAATAGCAAAACAATCGGTAGAAGTCTTGATTTATACTTTCTCTTCAACCTTCTGGAGAGATTTGGGGTGAATCTTGGATAAAAAGAAGAGAAATCAAGAGTTTGGAAGATTAGGGTTTCAGGTTTAGAGGATGAGAGGAGAATAAAGGGAGAAAAATAAAGTTTTTGGGCCAAAAAGTTACTTTATAATGTCTGTTAGTGACCTGGTCACTCAAGCGCAGGAAGCTTTGGCTCAAGCGTAGAAAAGAAGCTCCAAGAATCTCTGAAAATTGCGCAGTTCGCTCAAGTGAAAAAAAGCTCGCTCAAGCAAGCATGCTTCTAGCACAGAAACTCAAAATTCAAATAGGTATAACTCTCTCGTCTGGACTCTGTTTAGGGTTATTCTTGTGCCCAAATTGAAACCCCGAAAGTAAGCTTCCTAATGATTCTAGCCTCACATCAAGATTCAAAGTATGGAGAGAAAAAATGATGAAAAAGTGAAAACTATTTAATAACAATTATTCGAATTTGGAGTTTCTGATTCAATCTCACCCAATCACTATGGCAACACCTCAACCAAGGCTCAAATATTAACTAAGAAGGTTCTCAATCAAGATAATCAAAGAGTCAAATATAATTTCATTATAACAGGAAGCACAGAATGCTACGGGTGTGTTTGGTAACGTTTACGGTTTCAGTTTGTATTTACAAAAATTTTATAAACTAGTTTTGGTTTATTTTTAGAAAAACATAAACTACAAACGCGTTTGGTAATTGATAAAATGTTTAAAAAAAATTAAAAATATAAAAAAGAGTGAGAAATGGCAAGTGGTGGCAAGTGGCGGCGGAAAACGGTGGTGGAAAGTGGTGACGGTGGGTGGTGGATAGCTAGTGGTGGTGGGTGGTGGTGGCAGGTGGGCGGCGGATGGCGGGTGGTGGCGGGTGGGTGATGGGTGGTGATGGTGGGTGGGTGAGTGAAGGTGGCGAGTGGTGGGTGGTAGCAAGTGGGTGGTGGTGGTGGTGGCGGGTGGGGTGGTGGTGGTGGTGGTGGTGGCGATGGCGGGTGGTGGGTGGTTGTAGCAGGTGGGTGGCGAATGGCGGATGGCGGGTGGTGGTGGTGGTGGTGGTGGCGGGTGGATGGCAGGTGGGTGGTGGGTAATGGTAGTGGTGGTGGCGAGGGATGGGTGGTGGTGGCGAGTGGGTGGCAGATGGGTGGTGGTAGCGGGTGGTGGTGGCAGGTGGGTGGTGAGTGGTGGTGGCAGGTGGTGGTAGAGGGTGGGTGGTGGTGGCGGAAGACGGTGGTGGAAAACGGTGGCGGGTGGTGGCTAGTGTTGAGTGGTAAAAAAAAAAAAATTCAAAACTCAAAACGGAAACACATTTTTTGTGTTTTCATTTTTTGGCCAAATTCATAAACTGAGACCACTGATTTATAAATCAAAAATTTTACCAAACAAGTTTTTATTTGAGTTTTTAAAATTTTTGTAAACATAAATAGAAAACTAAAAACATAAGTGTTACCAAACGGCACCTACATATCTTAAAAAATAAATATTTAAAATATTAAAATAAACTCCAAAACAAACACCATAAACAGCAGAACAACTCGTACAACTGCCACCCCAATTCCATTATTCAGTGGGCATAAGAACTTCGACCACTATTCCTCTCATATCTACTATTTCTTGGGCTAAATTGTAGAAATTATTCAAAAAATCCAGAGTTATTGGTGTGGGGTTGATTCTTTCATACTTTTCAAGCATGCTTAAGAAGCTCAAATGAGGCTACATTTACACCTATTCCACATTATCGTATTGAGAAAAAAAAAAAGTTAGCATATATAATTTCGAAGAGGCATCTTAAAAAATTGACATATTTATTTGGGACAATTATAATATTTTTTAAAAAGGATAAATTATAAATACATTTCCTTAGATTTACTTAAAATACAAATTGTCCCTTATGATTTTAAAAGTTACATTTCGTTTCTTGAAATTTCTAATTTCATAACAAATGGCCCTTTTTATCAATAAATCATCAAGTCAATTAACAGTTTTTAATGATATCATAAATATATTTCAATTAATAATTCAAGTAATTTTATTATTATATAGGAGTGCAGTTAAGAATTTCATTTTTCTAGTTAATTATGTTAAATAAAAAATATTTGCAAAGGGTATTTGTATTTTTCTAAATTACATGAGGCAATTCATATTTTAAATATATCTCAGGGAATGTATTTGTAATTTTAAAAAATATTCATGAATTTTGATACACCTTAATCTTTAGTTCATTAAAATTTTAGGGCAATTTTAAGAATGTATTTACAAATAAATATTTATATTTTGGGTAAATTACACTTTGTCCCCTTTATGTTTGACCACTTTTCTACTTTGGTACTTAAATTCTATTTTTTCTCACTTTGACCCTTTATATTTCAAGTTTTTCTCACTTTACTCTTAAAACTAATTTCTATTCAAAATTAGACAAAAAAGTCCACAATAACTGTCACATAACATAAAAAATATATATTATTATATTAGAGTTTAAGTTTATGTTAGAGATGTGAGTTGTATATAACAAATATTTTTATGTCATGTGATTGTTAATATGTCATTTTTTGTTTAATTTTTAATGGAAATTCACTTTAAGTAAATTGAGAAAAATTTAAAACATGAAGAGCTAAAGTGAGAAAAAAACAAACTTTAAGGGCCAAAATGGAAAAGTGACCAAACATAAAGGAGGCAAAGTGTAACTTACTTTATATTTTTGAAAAAACATAATTCTAGATACCAAATTTAAAATTTTATTCATTTTTCATTTTAACTATTCTAGAGGGCTACAATTAAAAATAATAATAATAATAATAATAATAATAATAATAATATATAAAGAAAGATTTAATAATAACACAATAATTTTAAATTTCCAAATTTAAGATTTTGACTAAATTTCCAGACATATATTTTTGGGAAGTTAATTATTGAAAATGAAGAAAAACTAATACCTATTGAATTTTTTTTTAAAAAAAAAATAGTATTGCGACATGTGTATTTTTTATTTATTTATATTTAAATTTGAAATGAAAAAAATTGGATCTAGAGTTTATGAATTTGGAGAAGCATTTGGCAAGGGAAAGGAAACAACACAATGTTTTGCAGTTATAGATGGTATAGATATAGATAGATACTCTAAGGTTGTATTTAGTTTATGAATTTGGAGAAGCATTTGGAAAGGGAAAGGACAAGGAAAGGAAAAATGTGTATAAAATATAGTTATATTCAATTCATATTTCACCTTACTTTTTTTTTTGTCACTATTGTTTTCTTAAACTATCCAACTGATCAAGAAGTTTTTCTGATAGTATACGTCTTGGATACATTCAATGCTTAACTTACTAATATTTACAATTTTCATTAACTACTTAAACTTATCAATGTTGTGTCTATGAGGTTTATTTTGGAGAATAAATTGCAGAGAGTTTTATTCTAGCAAAATTGACCACTATCATTTATTCAAAATGAAATATTGAATTACACTGTCGGAAATTTGAATGATAAGAAGAAATAAGTACCCAGTAGCAACAACACAAGAAAAATAAGTGCAGAACTTCTAAGACTTGCAATCTGTGAGATATCCCTATCCAACAGCAAAGTCAGTCCAAAAAGAAAAGCCAAATTCAGGAGCCACAACGCAGAAACTTTAAGCTATTTTTAATGTATTCCCTATATCAATCACAAATCGATATCTAACATCAGCTTTCACGAGGCGCTCCAGTGCAGTATTCACGTAGTCCATCGGTATCACCTCAATGTCTGCTGTTATGTTGTGTTTTGCTGCAAAATCTATCATCTCTTGTGTCTCTTTTATGCCTCCAATGCAACTCCCAGCCACAATTTTCCTCCCTGCCATTCAAACATTGTGTATTAAGCATTTGGAGCCTTTCGTACATATAATTTCTAATTCACAAAGCCAAGGAGCCTTTCATTATATTTTTGCACAAGAACAGTTAGTAGGCAATTCAACCACAAAAAATACAAGCATTCACATGGGTGTGTGTAAGCGTTTGGAGTATTTTTCTATGGTTGCACTGTATGAACGTTTGGTTTATTTTTTCTATGTTTAGATTTTGTGTACATAGAAGTGTTGTGTTTCTTTTACATACATTCCTCAAAACAAATTAGTTATGTTAAATGCTTACCCATGAGCAGAGGAAAGACTGGAAGCTCAAGCGGCTTCTCTGGTGCACCAACCAAGATGAGCTTTCCATGAGATTTCAACAAACCAATCAATGGTAGAAGAGGGTGAGGTGCAGAAACCGTATCAATGATACCATCCATTGTGCCCATAACAACCTATTACATTCGACACATCAAAACAAGAAGACAAAAAGTTATCAATCAAGAATGCCCATTAACTTTTGATCATAACAAGACTCAGAGCTATTAAGGGAAAAAAATGGTTACCTGCATCTGAGTTGGGTCACGGCTATCCAAAAAAGAATCAGCACCAAGCCGTTCAATAGCTTCTTTCTTCTTGTTCGGAGAGGTACTAATCACAGTCACTTTAACACCAAAAGCTTTGGCAAATTTTACAGCTGCATGACCAAGCCCACCAAGACCAACCACACCCACATGCATACCGGGCTGGTCAAGCCCAAAGTGTTTTAGAGGGCTATAAGTAGTGATCCCAGCACAAAGAAGAGGTGCACTAGCATCAAGAGGAAGACTGTCAGGGATGCGAATCACAAAGTGCTCATCAGCCACCATAATATTAGAGTAACCTCCATAGGTTGGAGTTCCATCATAGTAGATGGAATTGTAGGTGAGTAACATTTTAGGACAATAGTTTTCAAGATCATTAGCACAATTGTCACAAGAGTGACAAGATCCAACCATACATCCCACCCCAACTTTGTCTCCAACTTTGAATTTCTGCACCTTGCTACCTACCTCTGTTACCACACCCACAATCTCGTGCCTGTGCATTTGTCAATTCAAATGAAACATGTCATATCGTACTAAGGAGTTTGCAATTTTATATCCATTCATATGTTAGATTTTATTAATTAAGTGGTTAGAATTTCATCATCTAACCACCAATTTCTATTAATGGGATATAAGAACAATTTAGTAGTGATATTCCAATAGAAAATATATATTTAAACGACATAATTTCATTTGGAATTGTCATTTTAAAAGAGAATGCCCACTAAAATGACATTTAATTATAAAAATGTCACTGTCATATAATCAAAAGAAATACATAAATAAATAACTAAATAAGTGCAATAAACAAGCCTTGATCATTATAAAAAAACCACAAAGAACAAAGGAAAAAAAAAGACTCTTTTAATTTTAAGAAATAAGAAATGCATAAGATCATCTCCAACGGTTCATCAAACTTTGCATCAGATTTGAATCTTGGTGAGAAAGTCAATTTTTGGAGCTCCAATGGTTTCGCCAAATTGGTATCAAAATGAGAATGGAACAAAAAATTCATCAAAGTGAGAACAGGCTCCAGATTTCACCATTTCACTGTGCGTTACCGTTGGAGTGGGCCAACCGGTCAACCAACCGGTTGTCCGGCCGGTTGACCCACCGGTTGACCGGTTCCCTTTCAAATGGTAGGTTCAAATAGGTCAAAAAAGGTTCAAACAGGTTAAAAAAAAAAAATTCACTTACTGTTCGACCAACCGGTCGACCCTTTCCTTTTAATGCACGGTTGGAGCAAGCCATGTCAGATTGAGAAAATTGGCTTTTTTTTAACTCAAATTTGGTGAAAATTTTGGTTCACCATGGGAGATGCTCCAATAGACTCAATGGACTTAGATACAAAGTAACATGTTTAAAAATTATAAAGTAAAAATGAAGATTGCATTGCCAAGATATTTATACAAGTAAAATATATGTATGCTTGCACGAATGCTAATAAAAACAACAACCTTTTTTTACGTACAAGGAATATACAAATATATGAAGGCATCTCAATATAAATCAAATTTTATAGCTTCTTGTTTTGGGTTGAAATTGTGTAGCTTCTGGTTTCAGACTAAAAAACAGAGCAATGCATTGACATAACCCAACCAACCCAACTGATAATGGTCCGATTGGTTTGGTTTGCTTCTTGTATTTTTTAAAAATGTTTAGAAAGAGAGAATGAAAGACGCATGAAGTGGTACCCAGGAAGAGAAGGATAGTTGGTGTTGCCCCATTCGTTCTTGATTGTGTGAAGGTCAGAATGACACATCCCAGAATATAATACTTTGAATGTCACGTCTTTTTCTCCGGTTGCCCTATACACATAAAAACTCAATTAATAAATATAACATACTGCCGATTAAACACAACCATATATTATACATTAATCGAATGAAAAGGAAAAAAAAAATTAATATACCTTCTAGAGAATTTGAAAGGAGAGAGGACACCAGATGTGTCTCTGGCTGCCCATCCCAAGGCCTCCACTGGGTGTTGTTGCTCAGCAGGTAATTTTGCCATGACAAAGAGAGAAAGAGAGAGAAAGAGAACAGAATGTTAAGAAATCTAGAGAGAGAACAAAAAGAGGGATATGCTGTTGGCTAGTAGGGCAAAGCAGTGACATGTGTTGGGTCTGTCGTTTGGGTTCCGTGGATATATATACCAGTTGAGGACTGGAATGGGCTGACGTAGTCGATGAAATCAGCGAGACATTACGTAGTCGGTGAGATCAGCCATTGCTAGGTTTGGTCCACGGAAAAGTATTCGAGTCCCAATTATAAAACTTGCTTTGGCCAGATGGGTTTTTGATTTTTTTTTATTTACTTATTAAAATTCACAAAAACAAAAACAAAAAAATTAAAATAGTTAATATGTCAAAATATTATATCAAACTCATGCTTTATTTTATTTTTTTTACAAATATCATATCCAATTATAAAAAATTTAATTATCTTCTCAAATATACAAATTTTAATCTATTAAATAACCAAAAACTAAAATAGTCTATTAAAATAGTCAAATTTTCAAACAAGGCAATTGTCACATTTTGGACCGGTGGTACTATACACACTATTTAGTGTACTAATTAGTGTACCAACACTAGTTACGACATTATTATTGACCTTACTCATTATACAAATTATAAATATCAAAAATATCTTAAACTATGTCACATCATCAATTGATATACTAATTGATATATATAGTATCATTCATTTTGGACTGTAAGGGCTGTTTGATTGGGTGGATGAGATTATTAATCATGGGACTCATATTTGAATGTTTGGGATTTCCGTGGATATTCGATTTAATAAAATTAATGAATTTTTTAATTTGTACAACTAATAATGTAGCATTAACATATAATTAGGAATATATATTTCTATATCCACTACAGAATAAACGTGAGCAAAATTGAGTTATTTATCTAACTAATTCAATTAGATAATTAATTTTATACTAATTTTATGAATTATTAATCACTTTATTATTAATCTTGCTAATCAAACAATACCTGAAAATTCGATTCATACATGAAATTTATACAACATATATTATAAAAATGATGTTGTAATAATATTATTGTAAACATAAATTATCTTTATAATTTCCGTGGATATTCGATTTAATAAAATTAATGAATTTTTTAATTTGTACAACTAATAATGTAGCATTAACATATAATTAGGAATATATATTTCTATATCCACTACAGAATAAACGTGAGCAAAATTGAGTTATTTATCTAACTAATTCAATTAGATAATTAATTTTATACTAATTTTATGAATTATTAATCACTTTACTATTAATCTTGCTAATCAAACAATACTTGAAAATTCGATTCATACATGAAATTTATACAAAATATATTATAAAAATGTTGTTGTAATAATATTATTGTAAACATAAATTATCTTTATAAATATTTTATTTTAAAATGAAAAGTCATTATTAAATTACATCATTATGTATAAAAATTTTGTATTAATTTTTTTATTTGTACATCAGTATCAGTACTGTTTCGTCTGTGTCCATGAAAAAGAGTAGTCATCATAAACAATTAAATCAATAGGTGTGGTCCACAAGGACTCAGATTATATGGACAGGATCGTTTGGTGGCTTTGTGGCCGGTGGCTTTGTGGCCGGTGGCTCATGGCAAGACCCTTCTTCATTTAATTGGTTTATCTTTTGAATGTTAGTTTTGGAAAGTATTAGAGTAATTTGATTAGTTATAATTATATAATAAGTGCTGCTATTAGCACTTGTCAAAATTCTTTGGATCCCCTATTTTATAATTTTTTTTTATTACAATTATACCATAAAGTAAAATTACATTAAAAGACATTATGAAATGGAATACCCACCTATCAATAATAACTAATACTCTATAATATTGGACACCCACCCACCCACACCTCCAACTCCAACTATACGTATTCCATGTTTGTAAACCCTAAACCTATTACTTTTCATAACCAATTAACATAAACCCTAAATCTATTATTTTTCATAATCATCTTTGAAAAATCTAGAAATCCCCTAGATGTTGATTTGTGATTATGTATCAATTTTAAGCGGAATATAACAATCCCAATTAAACAATCAAGACAAAGAGACACAAGCGATTTTACGTGGAAAAACCACAATTGGACACCTCCAATTGTGATAAAAAAACCACGGGCAACAGCCACAAGAACAATCCACTAAGAAGATTTAAAGGAATTACACAGGTATACTCTCAATTACCTAGCGAATCCACAACGCCTAATTGAACCAACCTCTATGTGCCTCTTCCAACCCCATCTTCACCTCGGAATTGTCTTTCCAAAGAGCCACTCCAGGATCCACCGAAGCTTCAGGCTCGAATTCTTCAGACTCCACCGAAGAATAACTCTCTCTTTTGTGTATAACAAACCAAACCTTTGATGTATTCTCTTTAAATCATGAGTTGAATACTCAATAAAAACATCAAAGAAAACTAACAAAATATCCCCAGATATACTCCTTAAGAACCAAAAAGAAGATCTGGAGGAGTTCAATCAATTCCTTAGTTTTGGGAGAAAACCAAGTATTTATAGAGAACCAAAAGTAATCCTAGATTGGGAAGAAAACAAACTCCTTGAGAAATCCGGATTCTGAGGCTTGCTCGAGCGAAGCTTTGCTAGCTCGAGCTAGGAGTGTATTTTTCATTATTTCTACTAGTGCCTTGGCTCGAGCGACGGATCCTTGGCTCGAGCGAGGAATACACTTTTTCAGGTTTTTGTATGGACGCAATCCTTGGCTCAAGCGAGCAAGCCCTAGCTCGAGCGAGAATTCCTTGGCTCGAGCGAGCAACGACGGACATGCAATTTTGAATGCAATTTTGAATTTTGCTTCGGCCCCCGTAATAATCAGCGAAGTGGCAATCTTGAAAGCATTAACATCACAAACTTCTCTGCATGGTTTGATTCGGGTTTGGATTCGCATCTAATAAACTCATAGCCTCACTGAAATAAAAGTGCGAAAATAAATACATCTGAAAGGAGTTTTGTCAAACGGGGTTTCCAAGAATAAAAACCTAACAATCTTAAATCCTGAATGTGTCATCTTCATCACCATCATCAACGCTATTGAACTTGAAAGTTTTGTTTCAAGTATAACGTATACTTCATCACTTATTTCACTGTGTAGAGCAATGGAAGACGAAGACAACATTCTCGGTTGTTTATCTGTCTTGTATTAACATTCTCGGTCATTTTCGATCGTTCTTGTTTCGTTCGAGCTGTTCGATACTGGTTTGCTGACTGTTACAATTATGTTCGGTAACACAGTACTGAACATAATCCTTTTGTTCAATACATAAGTTCCGAACATTAATGCAGCTAGTCAGTTATGTAATTTTCTTTGTTAAACTAACTTAAAATGGAAAAGAGTGAATTGGAATGGATTTAAGTTATGTATTTTGAATGGATTTAATTCATGTTATTTTAAATTGTGAATTAGAACAGATTCAAGTTACACAGTGATGAACAAATTTTGTTCGGACATACAGTGCTGACAGGATCATTATTATTCGACAAAACAGTTTTGAACAAAATACATTTTTTCGGCTACGCAGTGGTGAACAAATTGGGTGGGTGTGCTTTTCATTGTGAAAATATGGAGATTAGTTTTCTATTCTGAAAATATTATGGAAATATTATGGAGATTAGTTTTCCATATATATACATTGTTTTCTATTCCTACAATTTGCATCAATCTTCACTTTCTCATCTGAATTTCCCAATCAATGGCAAATTCCAAAGAGACCCACGTCGTCGAAATCCTAATAGACGAAGAACACCAACCCCACAAGTAAATGCATTGTGTTTTCAAGAACCACTTTTTAGATGTGGTTAATGTTGAAGAGAGAAGAGACAGAAAAATCTTCACTTTCTCATATGAACAAAAGGGGTTTTGAGAGAGTGAGAGAAAAGAGAGAGAAGGGACATCACTGATGAAGAGGGAGAGAGAGAAGAGAGGAAATTGGAATGGATTCAGGTGGGTGTGCATTTCATTGTGAATATGGGTAGATTTGGTAATAAGTGGGGTGTCCAAAAAAATATTATTAAAATTTGGGGTTTAGAATTGGGGTCCAAAGAAATGGAGGGTCCAAAGAATTTTGGTAAGTACTAATAGCAACACTCTTATATAATTTTATGTGCTTTTTTACCCACAAATCCCATATTGAGAATGTCTCTCTCCATAAGAGAAAATGACCAAAACAACCCATTCAAACCGTATCACCTGTTTTGGCAGTGTAATTAAAAACCAATCTTCTGCATGATTTTAGAAGTAAAGTATGTTACATTTCATTTCGTCTGGTTGAATAGAATTTAAAAATTTTAAATTTTATTTAAGAAATTAAAAAAAAATCATTAAAAATAAAAATAAGCCAGCACTGATAATGCGGTAGGTCCAATGGTAGATGGATCGAACTGATCTGCGCTTCTAATCGGTCTGTTGGCCTCGATGTCCTCAAAGCGTACATGCAAAAAGGTCCGAAAAGGGGGAAGTCGTCCCCTGACGGACACTCCGACGATTAAGTTAGGTCAGGATAGACTATAGTTGGTTTTTTGAGAGAGAAAGAGAGAGAGAGGAAAAGGGGATTCAAAAACTTAACCTTCTAACGTATCCTGAAAAGCTTCTTTATATCATTTGCCCATCAGTTTCTTGTCCATTCCTAGCTTTCTCGTTGGCCGAAAGTCTATAGTCTAACTGACATTGTTCATAGTGATTATGCATACTCCAGCACGAGGGGTCTGGTTGTATTTAATGCTATAGTGGCCTCATTAAATGGCTGATGTGTCAGTGCAATAACTTTGTAGGATCTGCTTACGTGGCTAATTGTCTGCTTGACAAGTGTTTGCATGCTATTGGCCTGGGCCCAGCGTTGGTTTCTCAAAGTTACTGCGCTTTAATGCCAAAGCTGTGAGCTGTGGGCTTATCTGGGCCGTGAATTGGGCCCTCTTGGGTGTCTGTTAGTATCAGTAGTCTCCCATTCCTAAGTGCAACTTTAGTCCAACGAAGTACAAAAGCCACAAAGAAAGCAAACCTTGAACACCAAACATCGACATTATGTTTCAAACATCTGATTCAATGTAGATTTAATGTTGAT